GAAGGGAGATCAACTTTTTTTTTGTGGTGCTCTATCCCTCCCTGCATCTTCTAAACTCTTCCCAGACAGCTAAAAAAAGTCCATGTAATTGCACTCCAGAACTGCCATTCCCAGCACTCGTTATAAAGGGAGCCTGGATTAACCATGATTAATGGAGTTGCTGGTGGTGTAGCTGTATGAAGCTCTAGTGGAGAGCACAGTTTAGTCGTCTTGGTAACTTTCCTATAGGCACTGGTGGATTGCTATTAGATTCCCCTGAAGCTTTCTCTTCTGGTTTGAAAAAGCCCAGTTCGGTCAAGGTTCTAGATGTCCTGTAATAAAAAGTATTTTAATAAAAATCTTTCAGATTATTTTTTTCTTAGGTTTTGTGCAGACTGCAAACCCATTTGGGGAAACTTCAGTCTTTATGCTCATAACTGTCAAGAGGGGTAAAACTTATTTAGCATTTTGGAAGTATTTTGGTAAGCTTTTTATTTTGTTTGTACAGGTTCCTCTCCCACACATTCACTGAGGTCTGCCTTGCACTCCTCCATAAATTAAAGTGCAAAATAATGGGATATGAGATAATTACAAACATTTTGCTTTCAGGTTATACCTCTGCACTTCTGATTGTTGCACAGACTGTCTTCTTTTCCTTTATCATAAACATACTTGGAGCATGCTGAAGAGACTCTTACAGTAACTGTGTTAAAAAATGGGGAGAAAGCAGAAGTAAAAATACCTATCATCATAAAGATGGCTGGTCAGCTTTGTAGTTGGTATAAATTGTCTTACTGCCCTTGGAGTGCAATGAATTTTCAGTGTGAGGGGCATATGCTCTTCAGAAGTAGTAAACAGTTACACATGAGCAGCAGAGCTCTAGCATAGCTCATGCTGGTGTCCAGAGGGGTCAGAGTGCCTTTAGCAGATGCTGAGTTTGTCATACAGTGACAGGAAGTCAGGAATTTTGCAAAAGCTTTGAAAACGAAGTAGGAGATGACACAGCTGATGCATTTTATCCCGTAAGGTTTTCTTATCTCGTTTGTGCTAGTATTCGAACCTCACTTTTGTAAGAATTGACCTGTGTCCCCAAGGCTGTTTTGTCAATCGGGGGTGCTATGTTCATGAAAAGAAAGGGGCTTGATGAATCTGTAGTCACACATTATTGTAGTTCTGATGGAAATAAATTATGTTCCAAATACAAGGCACTCATCAGAGTTAACATGTGAACTTGTACCTATCTATTTCAATTAAAATGGTGGATTGCTGAAATTCCGTGCTTTGGTCTCTGTGACAAGTTTAAAAGCTTTAGACAAATTCAGAGAAGTACTACAAGACTTAAGAAACTTGAAAATCCAGTTGGTTTGAACACATAGGATAAGCTCTTGACTAAATGTTTTTATTTTGTATTTGTGCAGAAAGATTGTTTTTCATTTCATAATTTTAGTTAAAGGACAACTGTGAAGAAGGTTTTCTTGGGTTTTTTTAATTTGCTGTTAGGTGAAAATTGCTTAAGTTGTTATGAGAAGGAAGTGTTTTTTGTAAGAATGCTGTGTGTTAATACCCAGAAACTACGAACTATTCATTTGGTATCTGCAGTGTTTGTTGCATCAAAAGAAGTGTGACCAGCAGGTTGGGGGAGGTGATTCTCCCCTGCTGCTCTCATAAGACCCCACCTGGAGTACTGTATTTAGTTCTGGGGCTCCCAAAATAAGGACATACACCTGTTGGGAGTGAGTCCAGAGGAGAACCACAGAGATGATCAGAGGGATGGAACACCTCCCTTGTTAGGACAGGTTGAGAGAGTTGGGGTTGTTCAGCCTGGAGAAGGCTCTGGGAAGAACTTATAGCAGCCTTCCAGTACTTAAAGGGGGCCTACAGGAGAGATAGGGAGGGACTGTCTATCAGGGAGCGTAGTGATAGGATGAGGGGTAATGGTTTTAAAACCAAAAGAGGGTAGATTTAGATTGGATATAAGGAAGAGATTCTTCACTGTGAGGGTGATGAGACACTGGCAGAGGTTGCCCAGAGAAGCTGTGGCTGCCCCCTCCCTGGCAGTGTTCAGGGCCAGGTTGGACGGGGCTTTGAGCAACCTGGGCTAGTGGAAGGTGTCCCTGCCCATGGCAGGGGGGTTGGAACCAGATGATCTTTAAGGTTCCTTCCAACTCAAACTATTCTGTCATTCTGTGAATCTTGTTAACTAAGAAATTACGGAGTCACTTGTCACCCAAAGTTTTTAAAAGAATAAAGCTAAAGTTCTCATTACAGTAGATTTATTTCTAAACAGTGTTTTCCAGAATGTACAGATCTGAATCATAGAACAGCAGCAATGCAGCTTGTGTTGTAGGCCATGATGAAACTCTGTACTATGTAAGTTTAAAGCAGTGATATTGATATAAATTGTTCATATCTGAAACAAAACAAACCTTGGCTTCAGATACACAGAAGTAGCCCTCATTCTCCTTGCATATCAGAATATAACTGTTTTAATTCTAAATTAGGAGTACTTTGTTTTTCTTTTCTTGTTGGTCCCCTCTCCCCCACCTTCATTGGAATCCCCAGGTTTGAGGGAAGCACACATGCTACAAGGGGAAACTAAAATTGACTATAACAGGGTGCTTGTATTGTTCAGTCAAGTTTTTAACAAGTGTTTAATGCTAACACAGAGGTGCATAGTGTGGGATTAAATGGCAGGTTGCATCCTTCTATTTAGAACTATAAGTACAATATAATGTATGATGGTAATTGTATCCAGGCTGTGACTATAGGTTTGCCAGTTGTACACCTTGTCTTGACATCCCCAGGTTGTATGAACATACAGTCCCCATATCCAGTGAGCGACCATGGTGGGTAGAGAAAAAGGAAACCTAATGATGCAAAGTTGAAATGCTCCATCCTCTTCTCTGATGTCTCATTGTCTTCTTTCTTCAATGGGCTGGTTATTGACCATAGCTTGAGGTCCACTCTCTTGTTCCCAGAGTGCTTGACTTCAAAGCAGTTGGTCATTACTCTCAGACCACACTGGGTCCCATTACTTGGAGCCGCCTCTATCAATATCTGTCCCCCATCTCTTTCCTCTGCCTCACAAGCCTGACACTAAACCTGATGTTTATTCCTTTAACTTCAGAGCCCTGTTTGAGAGCTAGAAGTTACTGTCCCAAAGCAGCTTTCATGTTCATTGTATCAGCTAGCTCCACTGCTGCCTTTGCCATTTCATACCAAACTCCTGGCACGTTGTCAGCTAGGTGGAGGAAATGTAACTGCTAGTGCTTGATTCTGCAAGTGTTCAAACTCAGTGGAGGAGACTTGAGTTATCAATTCCCTTCCTTGAATAATAGCATGTTAAGACTCAAGTGTCAGAAATCTGATGACAGCTTTTAAGTGGTTAGGAGACTCCCATTCCCTCCACACTTGTCCACTCCCTAGATGTGCAGGCGCCCCATTACCTGCTATGCTATTTGCAAATACCTGCGCATATTCCTGATTTTCCTAGCAACCTTCCATGCAAGCTCCCATGTGTGTCATATAACCAGTGCTGACTTCAGCAAAACCAAGCAAGGTGTTCCCACTGGCCTCCACCCTCCTCCATTCACATAGTGTCTACCTATCCCACAGTTCACCCCATGAGCACACTCAGCACAGCAGACCCTGTGTTTTAACATTATGTGATGAGACCCTCATTGCACCTGCAGCTGGTCTGAGTGTAACCAGGAGGTGCTTACACTGCCCTGTCTCAGGAGTAACCCAGTTTGCAAAACGCAGCGTATGCCAGCACTATACTGGACTGGTCAAATGCTAAGCAGTCCATAGGAATGATCCAGAAACTGAAAACTGCATAAACAAAGGGTGGTCGTTTTCTGGAAGCTGTGCTGCAGCATCTCAGTAGGGCATGCCCTAGGCTGTACCCACTCATCTTCATCACACACCAAGTAATGCCAGGAGCACTGGCCTAGCTGCAGATCCATCTTGCTGTTTACTGAATTGTTTCAAGTATGTTCAAGTTGCTATCTTGGTAATTAGCTTTGGATTTTCTTGCTTTTCATTCGCTTTCTCACATCTTTGAACAGTCCTAAAATTTAGTGCTGCTGCTGGTGGTAAATTTGTTCTGTGATTAATGTTCAAATGTGCATCATGTGTTCTGAATTTTAGTGTCTCATTTTCCTGTTGTCACTTATTATCTCTAAAATCCTAAAATGTGAATGTCTCTGTTTCACTGTGTCTGTGTCCTATCTTGCTGCCAGTAAGTGCTGTTACTACTCATCAGAGTGTTGTCAACTTGTATTAATTAATACAATGAATTAAAATCAAGCGTGTCTTGATATTCGGGGTGGGGTGGGGGTGTAGAGTTGGAAGCTTTTTGTTTGCTTGACTAGTTGAATCTTTGGGTTTGGTGATACAATCTCTGACTCTTTTGTCAAGCGTTTTCTTTGCTTTTCCCATTCTTCAGACTTCTCTGAAAGATAGGCCCGTACTTAAACTAGAACATCATTATTCTTCTGTCTTATGAGTTACTCCACAACTTGGTAGTTTACTTTTGGAGTGGATCTTTTGCATGGATGCAGAGCACATTTCAACCTTTGCCGAGCCAGTCACTAACCTGGAAAAATCCTATTTGTTCTTTTGTTGGCTTAGTTTTTTGTTGAGTTAGCGAGCTGAATTTGTCTCAGCAAGAGTCCAACAAGTAGCAGAGCTGGCAAACAAGGAGATGCAGGACCATATGGCCAAGAGCAGGGGAGTGGGAAGCAAGGGCAGCCTTTAGCCTTCGCTGATGGCAAGCCATTAATTTGGTTCAGCTGTGTTGTTAAGGCATGCTGTCAGTGAAGCCAAAAAATACTTTGAATGTTGTATAAGCATGTCATTCATTAAGACCATGACATAAAAGCTTTAATTTTTGGTAGTCTCTTGTTGTGGTTACCCACAAAATATTGAGGTTAATCAAGATTGGGTAGAGGATTCTTTGTAATCACAGTTGGTCTACAAATGCAACCATCTTTCTGCATGGATTTTTTTTTTCTCTGTTTCAGAAGGAAAATGTCATTCATGCGGAAAAGGATGAAAGACTGTCTCTTCGGAAGCATCGCTTCATGCATTTTGCATCATTGGAACATGAAGGAGAATATTACATGACACCAAGAGATTTCTTGTTCTCAGTAATGTTTGATCAAGTTGAACGTAAGTTGTTTTCTCATGATTGTATTTGTGAAGGAAAAGAAACTTGCAGGTCCCCTTAAAGATGTAATTTGCAAATCACTGAGATAAGATCCTTTATCTGACATAAATAAGCAGAAGCCAATTTGTAAATGTTGTGCATATGGATTCTCACAGGCACCACCACCATTTACACCAGTGAAGTGAGGCTGATGATTTAGAAATCTGGTGACTTGATGATGACATTACATCTCTGCATAATTTGCATGTCTGATCAGTATGTAGCTCCTTAATTACTTACATGCCACAGAAAATAGTAGGACTGTAATATAATAGTGTTCATACCATTCCTAGCCCCATTATCTGTCTCTCCACTTCACCAGTAAGTACTCTGTGACCTTTTTTCTTAGAAGAGGCAGTGATGGGAGTGACTTGAATGAGTGTAATGAAGCATTGATCTCAGTTCTAGGTTTCTGGTTTCAAATCTCCTCTGGTTTGTACAAAACCTAGGTAAGAACAAATCAAAATTGTATGCATGTTTTTGCAAAAGTACTTTTAAAAGCATGCTTTCTGAGGAGAAGATAGGACCAGCACACAAATAAAAAGTGCACAAGTGGTTGTCCTCCTTTCCTCCTGGTTTTCTTACCTCATTAACTCTACCCCATTCCTTAAGCTTCTTTTATCCCCTTTTGTATCATCTCTAATTTTCATGTTACAGGGTGGGGGGTTTTTAATTCTTTTTTTTTTTTTTTCTCCAAGAATTTGGCTTTTACAGCTTTCCCAATAATTTTTCTGCTTTAGAAAGGTTAAGTTCTCCAAGTTTCAGAGAGAATTGTCACTCAGAGGACAAATACTCTGTTAGTATGTATGCTGAGGGAAAGAGAGGGAAATCCCAACTTTAATCACTGCTGCAGTCTGCACATACCGACAAGGGAAGCTTGTTGTCTAGCAAAAGCCATTTGTAGCCTGGGATGCTCTGCCCAGCTTGCAGCTAATATCTGAGCAACTTGTAGGTATTTAACAGGACATACAGAAGGGAATTCAGGGTAGCCTTGAGAAACAAGGAGGAAGGAGACTTGAACACACTTTGATTCAATCCTGTGAGAAACGTGGGGCAGAACAGAGTTTACTGAGCTGCAAGTGGTGAAAGAATAGAACACAAGAATCTCTAATAAAAGAAGTTTTCTTGTCTGCCAAAAATCTATAGGTGACAAGAATACATGGCTTCACTGCTGACACAACTTCTAATATTATCCAATGCTGAATATAAATCCTTAGAAGGACTTTATGACCTTGAGAGTCATGGAGACTCTCAAAATAACTTTTAATATATGGCTAACAGGAAGAGTTCTTTCCCCTTAAAAACTTAGATCATTAAGTTAAAAACCTAGAAGATATTTTCTTTTGAGTTTTCTAGCCTGAAACACTGAAAGGCAGTGAATACTGTAATTTTCAGTTTTGAAGATATGGCTTTCAGACACTTGTCTGTGAAAGCATGGTTAAAGAAATAAGTGTTTTTCAGTCATAGCAGTTCATACATATTAATTGGTTACTCTAACTATAATAGTACACGTGCAGATTTTTAATGAAGTGGTATGTGGGTAAGATTTATTTGTAATGCAGCCAAGTTAATTTCAGTTACTTTGCTAATATGAGTAAGAAACAGTGTTAAACAGAAAAGAAAAATAATGACAAGAAAAAACACGTGAACAAAAAAAAAGTCTTTCCACTAGTGCATATTTAGCATTTCAAATTGAGGTCAGGCTTACAACAATAGCATCATAGACAATTCACAGAAAAATGTTAATACTTGAATCTACTGCTCCTAAACATTTTTCTAAACATCATTGGCCTGGGTTCTTTGGGCAGTAGCATAAGTACAATGGTAAGAAATTCTCAAGCCGTATTACTTGGGATTTTAGGTTTTCTTGTAACTGTAAACAGACATAGCATTTGTTAGCAGAGATATGTGGGGTGTTAAGTATTTTAAAGTCAGTCATTTGTTCATTGTGTTTAGATGAGTTTCATACAAGTAAAATAAACAGACCTGTCTTAAGTGTCTGTCCAGGTATATTCAGAGTAGATCAGGATAGTGAACTTCATAGCAAAGCAGCAATAATTTTCTGAAACTTTCTGCTTATATCATAATATTAATTCCCTTTCACCCTGAACAGTGGTTTTAGAAAGAAAAACAGGCATGCAACCTAGAAAGCCCTTCATTTACTGGTATACTTGAGATGCAATTTTAATATGTGATACTACATACAAATGGTGAGTTTTATAATGCTGAACTTAAAGATGTAATGATTGGGTTATTCTCTACCTATTTTTGATTAATCACTAATTAAAAAAAAAAAAAACACTTGGAAAAATTTGAAGCACCCTGGCAATAACCATTCATTTTCATAAATATTTGCTTGGAGTTTGCCAGTTGATTGCTGTATATAATAATATGAAAGGCTTAAGGCTGCTCTAGAGTTTTGTTTCTGCTGTCTTTTTTATATAGATAATAGGCAGGAACATATGACCAGCCTCATGGGCAATTCAGCTGTATAACCCAAGAAATATTGCTGAGGTTGATCACAACATTTTGTTGCTCTGTTCTTATTCAGAGATAAACACTCCCAAACAGGAAAAAGGCAAACAAAAAGGGGGGATGGGAAGTAGTTATGGATTGGGAAAATAGGGGTCTTTGTCCAGCAGTCTTGGGATTTTTTGCTCACTGGTGATTGTCATTGGAGAATTACTTTGAAATCTCCTGTTAGTTTTTAAGCACAGTTAAATTCAGAAGAAAGTAAATGTGGTGTTCTGTAAACCAGATCAGTTGTTGGTGCTAGATCAGAAGTGCTGAGGTTAGAAAATACCAAAATATTTTAGCTATGTCCAGATTGTTGAGTGAGTTCCTGTACACAGTTGGGTGGAATTCATTACTGAAGCAAAAATCTTAGGTGTGCCCTTTGACAAGGTTGCAAAACATGCAATAAATTATGATTTATTATAGAACACTTTCCCAGATAACAAAACAGATGAACTATAGTGCAAATATATCAACTGTCATCCAACTCAAGTGATCTTGAACCCTGCTTGATAGACCTTAGTTCACTAGTTCTGCTCATTTGTTTCCTGGTGCATGAGTTTCTCTATCACTCATTTTCTTTATGGTAGGCCAAAAATTGTGAAATCTTGGCATTCCTGTTGATTAAATTACACCTGCAAAGTTATTTACTGTCAGGGTGATAATGAAGAAAAAATATTTACAGTCCTGCCATCTAAGGAGAATGAGCTGATAACAAACGCAGAGTTTCCTGACAGACTTATTAAATAAAGATCTTGATCCTTCTGTATATACTCAGTCCAGATTTAATGTATCGTAGCATCTTCATGTCATGAACCACTCCTTTATCTGCACTAAACCAATTTTCCTGTATTCTATGGTACCAGTGTGCCAGAGGCAGTATTTCCACAGTAGAGTCCTATCTGTCAGTGAGTATCAGTGTAAGTTTGCTGGGAGAGGTTGAGTTGATTAAGCTTTCCGTGAAAACATGGTTGGCACGAGGTTGTGATATGTTTGCAGGTTTGATATGATGTGTGGCTTCAGGTTGTCACAGCATTAAGGTGGTCATCACTGTGAATGAATCTGAGGAAAGAATACAATGCAAGGCTGGAACAGTGAGAGAATTGAGTTCTCCATTGTCCTTAGTGGAGACCAGTGCTGGTGCAGTCAGTGGGGCTTGGAGAGCCAAGAGGGACCAGCCAGTAGATGGGTACTTCAGAACAAGCTGAGTCAGTCTTCTTGTTTCTGGATCTTTAGGTTTTGCCTCCAGTGGGAGTTCAGATGCCTATACTTCAGTGTCTTCATTTTGACCTAATTTTCATATAGGATAGCTATTCAGATTCGTATGAGTCATGCACAAGTGTCAGGTCTAAAACCTAGGGTTCAGAGTCAAAGACTAAGATTTAAGCTTACCTAAGTGGTGAAGCTCCATGCAGGAAGTGAGGATTAAAATGTTATATGGGGTGTCATTGGCACAGTTGGGAACTGAATTCAATCCTGCTAAATTTCTAATGTATTAACAAAGAGATTGTTTTCTCTCTATCTCTGCATTTAGTATTTTGTGGCATTGATGTGTTGTTGCTCAAATCCTCCAAACAGTAGAGAAATCTGCAGAATGGGATGTGCAGAACAGAGGTGATCCCTTGCAAGGCAAAGAAGCAACATGATGGTTTAAGATCACTATGAATCTCTTCTGAGTTGTAGAAAAATGAAACATAATCAGCCATTTCTAGCCAAAGCTTCTTAGTCGTCGTTTACTCAATTCTCAAAATGGGGTTGTGAGTGAAGGAAATTAATTTTCCTGTTGAGGGATCTACACACATAAGCAAAGATAGGCAGATTGCTAAAAATTTCTGCTCCTGTAACCAGCCCATACTGTGAATTTTTCATCTTCAGCTATCCTTCATCACCCCAACACCATTAGGAAATCCTACTGCAACTCTAAGGAAGTCTTTAAAGTAACATATTGTATACACTTGGCCTTTTACTTTCCCTTAAGTGTGCAAATACAACATTAAAATTTATATTCTGGATAAAATATTAGATAGTTTTGGATAAAATGTTGTACTTCAGCCAGTTGTTGGTAAATAGATAAGCTAAGTGAAATCTTTTCTTCTTTTCTTCTCAGCAACAGTTTGTTAACACTGGTAACTTAGTTACATAGGCTGTCTGATGTAACACTGATGATCTTCATGGGACTGGTTTATCTAAAAATTAATTTGAAGGGAAATAGTTTTTCAGAAACAGTAGAAGTACTGCAGAAATTCCTGTAAGCCTGACAATGTGTATTTCTATCTGCACATAAGCTTTCTTGTGAAATCAAAATAAAGACTGATGTGTTTTCATAGCTGTTGTATCATGAGGTACTACATAACAGAATCAGAGATGGGATTCTTGAGGGGAAATGGGGTCTTCCACTCCACAACAATCAAATCTGGACATTGGTCAGGCAGGGATGGGCCACTGCACT